TCCTGGGGTTGGGAAGAAGTTTCGCTAAATACACCATCCCCTCCCCCTCCTCCTCCCCCCCCCTCCCAAATTTTCTTTCCCGGTGTGAACACCTTCCTCTTCTCAACGGACAGGAAGTCTTACTGAACCTCCTTCCCAAAAACTTGGGGGGGGGAGGGGGTGAGTGGGGAAGGGGAAGTAGAAACCAGACACCTCAGAAATGCGAGTTTTGCAGCACCATCGACTAGAGAGGTATATAACCGAAATTTTTTCCCCAGGTCGGATAAACCAGGTATGACCCCCTCTTGGGGATTCCCAACGTGCCCTGTTCACATCAGGGAGAAATAGTCGCTGCGTTGTTCTCTTATGAGCAAAAGCAACTTTCGCCCTTCCCATGGCTTCCACTGTTGCTGGAAGAGAAGCCATCCAACATGGGCTATAATTGTTCATCGCAAGGGTTGAAACCGGCGTTCAAAAAGGCTGCCGTTTTGATGGAGGCGAAGATTTCTGTCCCCACTTGGGGGGAGGGGGGAAGAAGGAGGGGGAAGCTCCGGGGTGTGTGCACCGAATTCAGTAGCAGTAATTCCATTTGGATGACGCTGCTCTCATTTTGCACAAGATCTTTCAAGGTGCTCCCTCCAAAGCTGAGCGCTATGAAAGGATTGGGGAAATAGGTACTAGCGCAGGTTCTATCACTCTAAGTGTAGGTCAGTTTGGACTTGAATTCCTTTTGGGATACCTGACGGGTGCCTTTTTTGGAGGAAGTGCCCTATTTGCACTCATTGACAGTTTAATCCCGTTTGAGACTGGAAAACTGAAAAAGCGCTTCTCCCAGAACAAAATATCGAATATTGTCAGGGAAAAATAAATCATGGCGCTTAAACTGGATATTTGACCAGTTTTCTTTGTGCAAGTCCAAAACGGGGGCGGAAGAGGATAGCGCTTGTCAAATAGGATTAGCGCCAATTTTGGGACAAGCCTGCAAAAGAGGTGGGTTTTGAAGGGCTGCTCGTACAAAACTGGGATTACCCTAGTGCGAAGGCCCCCTGTTGCACAAAAATATGGTTCATTCACTCAGAAGCTACTTCACTTCTAGGCATAGACGTAAATCCTCTTTTCTATGGCGGCGGTTCAGGTTTTGCATAAAAGGCTCTTGAAATTCACCCCTCGCCATCTGCTTAGCCGGTTGCGCAGACCTCTCCTGCTAAGATCGCAAAGCCTTGCATAATACGGAAATCGGAAATCGGGAGTAGGAGCTGGACCGATATGAGATCTCCTCAAAAGGGATCTGATGCAGTATTCGGTGTTTCTACTGCAGATGAACAGGAAGAGCAGTGGCAAACGGTGTATTTCGGAAACCAGAAGTCGGAAATTATTTTGACTCCAGGATCTAGGGTCTCAATCAATTTTGACCGGCAAAATTAAAAATATTTCACCTTTTCAGATGACAATGCTCCTTCTACGATTGCCTTCAATTCTGCATCATCGCAATTACCCTCGTCACCGGCTTCATTGGCGTAGTCAACATCATTTGTCGAAGGAGAAGAGTTCTGTGAATGAAAAATCAATAAATCCAATAAATCAATATATTGATTAACTGATGAAAGATCATCAAAATGTGCCCATGCTAGCGTACCGAATGAGTGTTGTCGGTCGCTTGTTGCTCTTCGATGATGTCGTCATAGCTTGACTCCTCTGAAGTGGGAGGAATTACTTTATGGCTAACTGAGACCAATGGGGGCTTCTATAACACAGACACGGTACCCAGTAGGTGACGTGCCATTGACGTCATCTAGCGCATTGATGACGTGTCTTGTGATGTCACTGTCAATTATACTACAGAAGTTCCGCCACTAGCGTGATAAATGGCACGCCTCTCCCCCCAAATTGAAATAGGTAGCGGACCTGTGCTACACCTGCGCTATCAGAAGTGGTGAAAAACGAACCTTTCGGTGCTTCAGTTCCGGCAGGGACTTGTGCTGCGGTTTGTGAGCTTTCAACTGTCTCTACTTGAGCAGGCTGTTGCTCGCTGGCTGCGCCGACATTGGCAGCTGGGGTCTCAATAGGGGCAGTATCAACCGACGGCGCAGGTGCGAAATTCTGAAAGAGACAAAATCAAGCTTTCTGACGGGAAAAGCACCACAAGTCAGGGCTGTTCGGCTTGGGAGGGGCATTTTGCCCTTTATCTAGTTCATGTTAACTAACATCTCATACTTTGGAGAGACCTATAAACCCAGGTGAAACTGCAAAATTGTACACGTAAGCCAATTTGGTCACAGGAATTTACAGATCTTCATGAGGTGATGTGGACGAGATTCTCAGTGGCTGCCCCACCAAGCCGAACTGCGCTCACAAGTCCGCTAGATTACCTCTGATGTCGCCACCGATTCGCTAGCTTCCACTGGTTGCTGAGTATCAATGGTAACTTGTTGATAAGTGGCTCCTCCCGATGGTGGAGCTACACCACCACTAGGTTGTTGGAAAGTTTGTTGTTGCGGCTGTGGTGCTATCGGAGCAATAGCAGCAGGACCTTCTTGGTATGTGGTACCACCAGCACCTCCTGAAACTCCTTGACTGGCTCCTTCGAAGCCACCAGCACCAGCCGCTGGTGCTATGTAACCTCCACCAGCTCCTCCACCAACACCGCCAACGCCAGCTCCACCAACGTAGCCTGCTCCACCAGCACCTCCGCCAACACCGCCAATGCCGGCTCCACCACCGTAGCCTCCTCCACCAGCACCTCCGCCAACACCGCCAACGCCGGCTCCACCACCGTAGCCTCCTCCACCAACACCACCAACACCGGCTCCACCAACGTAGGATCCTCCTCCTCCTCCTCCACCAGGTCCTCCGCCATAAGCTCCACCACCTGCGACAACTGGACCTTGGTAGCCGCCACCAGCTCCTCCACCAAGTACTGGAGCTTGGTAGGCTCCTCCTCCAATGGCTGGACCACCACCAATCACTGGTGCAGCGTATGGGCCACCGGCTCCGACTGGTCCCTGAAATAAAGTTCATCGGCTGTGCTACATACAAACAATAACTTGTATCAAAGTATACTTACTCCGTATGATGGAGCTGGTGGTGGGGGTGGTGGTGGAGGTGGTGGCGGTGCGACATAAACTGCAGCTGGAGCGGGAGCTACCACAGCTGCACCACCGCCGCCATAACTGAAATAATTATGTGTAAAATTTTGCAACTATGCAAAAAATTTACGGGTAAAGTTCTACAGCTATACGAAAAATGAGTTGAAAAACAGCAATTGTATCTCGCTAACAATTTCGTTGGGATCAACCTCCATCCCAGCCAAACAAACCCTTAACTCAACAAGGGCCTTCTTTTCTGCTAGGCATGTCCCAGGAAATAACGGCCCCCTTTCAACAACTATAAATCAATCAAATTCAATTGAATGGTCAGAATGGCGAAAAGGGAAAGTCGCTTATGGGGTGTATCCTAAGTGGGCCGATCGATTAATATTGATTGGTTGAAAAATTATTCATACCGTTATCGATTGAAGAGGGGTCACCCTAGTAGGAAACCATTCTCTAAAATAAAAATTTAAAACCGGATGGCTGACCGTGGAGGTAGAGGCGTAGACTAAAGCTATCGCTGGTGGGAGAGGTGAAACATTGAGAACTATTATATGCATCTCTTGGGCACCGTAACGCGCTCCCTAGTCGTCCCGAGATAACGTGTCGCCTACTCTCGTCCGATGAGCGTCGCGCAGTTGCTTTCCCCATACACGAAGAAGTAGAGCTAGCCTATTACTTTAATTACGCCTTAAAATTTTTGAGTCTTTTCGAGCTTCCGACAAGCGGTGCTTAGTGCTGTGATGCTCGAGGACAAGTTTCAGGCTGGAGCTGAGCCTAGCCCCCACCCCCTCCCCCTACAAAAAAATAAAATCCTGTAATCCGGTGAACAAGAGCCAGTAGTTAGTAAGCGGCTAACATATTAACCAACTATTCTCGATAATTGGGAGGACCTGATGTATCTTTCGAAGTTGTAATCGTTTGGTGGCACATTCTGCGGTAATCGGATGGGCGGGGACTTACACTGCTTGTGCCTTGTTGGTTCTTTGCCGCGCTGTCATGAAAGTAGGAATGGGAGGCACTTTCCGAAAGGAAATGGTTCGAAACCGAGTCTACTGGTCTCGTCATGCAAATCGCACCTATGAGAAAGGTACAACGGTTGTGAGTGTCCGCCCATTCGGTTATCGCGGAACGTGTTCGTACTCCTCCTTTATTGCTGCAGACCAAAGGCCATCAGAGGCAGCAGGATATGTTTTCGAGACATTGACGAGAAGCGTTACCCAGCTTTTTCATGGCCGCTGATGGCCGCTGGGACCTAAACTAATTCGACAACCCGCTCATACCCCCTCAGCATCAAACTCCTGGCTGGTATTCATCAATTACAGATAGAGAAAACAAGGGCAATGGATGAGAAAGGGGCATGTTCCGAGCATCTGATCGGATCTAAGCGCTTCATTCTTGCCCTAGCAGAAGAAAGATTAGCTAAATTCCAATGACAGCACCTGTGACGAATCAGTCCACTTCAGGAAACCTTAGGCGATCCAGTTCCAGTGTTTCCACTTCGTCTTGCAAACAAAACAAAGCGCTAACAAATCGCTTTTTTTCGTTTGTCGTCCAGCACAACCCGTAAATCGCAATAGCACTCAAAGTGGAAGAAATTCAAATACGATCACGATTCGAAGCCACTTTTTCCCCTCTACCCGTTCTTGTTCCGGCCATTCCCAACCGGCTAAATCCAATCACACCTGTGTGATTTCTTTCTTTCTTTATTCACACTGATGGATATCTTGGCTGACAATCACCCATGGAACGCTTAATGGATGATAAATGGAATAGAAGTCAACATTTCAATGCAGCATTTCAACAAAGGGCATGGGTGGGGTAAAGACAAGCAGCGCTGCTACCGCGTCTATTATCCCGGGGCAAACCACACCTCCGACGCATACGTCAGACGCAGACATTCTTATGGTTTTATGTTCAAAAGCTTTTAGGAGTATGGAAATCCAAATTTTTTACGTTCATATGGGGAGAAAAATTGTGATTTGGGCAGTGGATAGCGCATTATAAAGGCGAGCCCATTACAGACCTTCCATTGTGACTGTGAATGGATGTAAAATGGTTGGCATATCCCATAAAGGAGGAAAACTCCTGGGTTTTACAAAGTTATTCAGGGGTTATTAAAGTACCATGAGACTTGTGAAGAACGATCCTAGGATACCATAGCCGAGGATCAGAGAAACCTGCTGTATTTGCCAAGGAGTCGAAGATCAGGTGGGCTGGACACATCATGCGACTGGATGACGCGTCTGGACCAGAGTCGGGCTATCGCCAGCCTCGGTCCGCACAGGACGTAAAGAACGCCAGGACAACGCGCTTGGCGCAGCTGCGCAGACTTGCCTTGCATGAAAACGCTGCAGGAAATGATGAAAAAAGCTGCGCATGTTTTTCCGAGTAAGGAGAACCCACTGGGCCACTTGTGGTTGGCACAGAGAATGGAGGCCTTAGCTGGGGGCTTCTACGGGTAAGCCAATCATCAGCAGGGCACAGGATATACAGGAAATGATATTACCAGTTACCAACAGAAGCCTAGAAAACTCAACCCTGAGCGATCACAGCAACCATTTATTACATAGTGTAAAAATATGTTGATTGTCCTGACTCCATCATATGTCTCACGTGAACTGTTCGACATAATGTGGGTGGGTGAGGCACCTTCTGCCGTTTCGACTAGTTCTCTTCTGCTACTTTCTGCTAAATTACAAGATAGCTAGTACGGATGTCCTGGCGAGGAGCATCTGCAGCTAAACCAGCATAAGGCCTGAGGGTTTGCCGGCCCGCAACGCGCCCAGTCCCATTGCCAAACCGCACCTGCCGCAAGACTCAGCTTCTCCAGCGTTACCAGGGTTTATCGTAAGAATACAGACCTTTCTCTAAGTTGTACGAGGCCGCAGGAAACTTTGAGAACTCTATAGCGGACGGCATTAGGAAAAGGTGAGGCAAACACCGCCGAGCTTCAGGAACGATAAAAGGTGATGACGCGGAATAGTGTGAATGCAGCTAGAGATATTTACGCTCAATAAGGAGCGCGAATCGTGGTTCTATCCCGGTCCGGCTATACGGAGGGCTTTCAGCCACTCGTCAATTATTCAAAACGGCATGTTCTTCAGTGAAGTGGAAACAAAAAGCAGCAGGCAGCGGAAACACGCGACATAATGGCAAGTTCCTGCTACAAGTGCATTCAAACGTAACGCAGTCTCAAAAGAAACGCAAATGCGATGGCGCAAAGCACTGCAGCGAACACGCGGACATATGCAGTAATGCCTCTAGAAGTGGCATTCCAAAACGTAACCGGCCGTCTCTAAACAGGGCCCGCAAATGCATGGCGGCATTCCCCGCTGGATTGGTGCGTCAGTTGAGGATGAAGGTACGGTGATGGATAGCAGAGTAGCCGTTGATCAATCATACAGCCCGTAGTACTGAAAAGCTAAAATAATGAAGCTTTCAGTACTGATTGACCCCTTTCTAATATACGCCATACATTCTACTTCATTCCAGAATCATAAGAGAACTGTAAAGCTTCCTTCAGCCTAACCTGGGGTGGGGGCAGAGGAGCGGACAGGGGAAAAATGAGTGTTCTCATCGCCCTGGGTAGGTGTGGTGGCGGCTTACCTACGCGGAATGGGCGCCACTTACCGGGGGTCGATACGTCTGGCAGGAGCGGGGGAGGGGGAGGGTACCCACCAAACAGCTACTATTTCCATGATTTCGACTATGGAAAATAGTTGTATAAACTTTTAGTCGAGCCACCAAGTAGGGAGTAAGGGACTACTTCTGGCTCAACAAGTCATCGATCTCTCAGAGGGAAACGGCACGATAAATCGACAAAGCGTACAGGGTCGATACACCTTGCACGAAAGAATATTGTGCCCCTTAGTAGACGCTGCGTGTCGCCTTTTCCAACAAGGGCACCGTTATAACACGCAGCCCAGGTGCATCATGCCATCCCAGACGCCCACTGCGACCGCCCACTCACATCAACTGGTACTCTTGTCGCTTCATTGATCAAGTAGAAATGACATGAAGCATTGCTACATGGATACATGCAGCCGCACCTATCGTGGTGGTTGCTGGTACGATGCCAACGGGAAACTCGTCCGAAAATTCCCGTCTACTGCTGTGCAGAACAAAGGTTTTTTGCAGGTTTTAGGCCGTTTAACTTTGATTTTCCGCATTTTTCCCCCTGGTATAGCATCCCTGCTACTATTTTTGAACAAGTTCCAAATTATCGAGCCTTATGCCTTTACCAGGTAATCTACTGAAGTTCGTATCCTGGCTGCACCTACATCCTTCAACCCTTCGTTGCGCTCTGATCAAGGCGTCCCTGGAGGAAATCAGTGGAAATGAATCATCTTGTCGAATCTAGCGGTATGAATGTGAAGGGTTCAGTTGAAAAGAAACCGACATCGATGTGATGTCTAATAAGAAATCCTTAAGAATAGACGCGCGGGGGTAATAATAGCTCTGTCTTGTCGTGGTCGGCCTTGTTTAACCACTTTTTCCATTGTCAATGATTGTCCAGCGCTACAGTTCTGTTACAAGCCATGATCATCTAAGTGGCTCATTTGCGCGGTATCGGATCGAATCGTGTAAGAGCGCGTATCTGATATGAATTCTTCACGAGTGGGAGCAGGTTTACCCCCACGACGATAGGTTCCCGTCGTGGAAACATTAGCCATTTTAATGAAATTCACCATATCACGGCGCCATGCCTGGACACCTGGCGCTTAAAACATGTTTTTAAACAGTTCACGCCGCAATAAACGGGCCATCGATGATTTGTGCTGTCCTTGGACGTCACTTTGGGCAGCTGGATGTTTGGCACGCGAAAACTCCCACATGGGCGACTGGCGATGTGTGGAGCGCCAAAGAAGTTTTCGATTGTGGCTTAACTGGGTCAAGTTGCTATTTAAAACAGGTTCCTTACTTTTGTGGGATTCGTTTCTTTTCATGGATGGGCCATCTATAGCTACTACTGTGGACAAAGGCAGTCGCTAATAACCTTGCGGGTGGGGGGGGGGCATTCAAAGGGCTACTCGAACGAAACACGGATCCAAGATCCGTCGTCAGTGGGAAGAATTT